TGTTGGTTTCCTTCTTATTTATATTATATAATAGATGGATTGTCATCCAGAACTGCAATACTTACAACAACATTGATCGCGTCTGTTAACACAGCTCTGGACCCGTATCTATTTAGCTTTCAAAGTTCAAGATTTAAGGTTTTGGTGAAAAACGTACTTTGCTGTAGAAAAGAGTCATCGTAATTAGATGAGACTGATYGGGATGTGAAAGCAGAATTAAACATTGTCCAGATGTTTAAAAAACTACCTGAAGGAAAAGCATGGCAAAACAACTGTTTGTAACTGTGAAGTGAAAGCAGACTAAAAATGAAACAAGCCTTGATTTTAGATTAAAGTTACCCGAAGTAGAAATTTATACTTTCTCGAGAAAGCGCTATTGATTGGACTCTTACTAGTTCGTTTGTCTTTTCTTGTCATTCTCTCACTTTGGAGGACCAAATATCATTATTTGAAAAATTGAAAAAGTTAGATATCGGACATGTATATGTAACAATTTTAGTATTTGGACTCCACTAATGTATATATATATAACAATGGAATCTCTCTGTTGACTAGCTTACAAATGCCTTCATGATTGAAAAACGAATGCAGGGRACATGTTCAACGCTTTCATTTTCTCTATAACCATATAGGTAGAAAGAGACGTGACATGCTGACTGCTGTGGTTGTGGATTCTATCCACAGACCTTCGCTTCAAGGGTATCTCTCGTCGGTTCTCAGATATTTCTTCCTATACAAAAATCAACGTTGTAATCTGGGTTGGGTGTCAAACCCTTCAACAAAATGCTATTTCAATTGATCAGGAAAATGAACAATTCATCCTTTTTAATGACAAAAAAAATGACATTGAGCTCAGTTTTAATAACAGAAAAACCAATATTTACAATAGTAAATTTAATCTCTAGCTACAATATTAAACCAATAAAATAGGATTTAATTAAACTTTCTATGCATGAGTGGTAGTATATTAATGCTTTTCCCAATGAAAAAACAACAATCCAAAATTATCTTATTAAATTTATAAACCCAAATTTGGAGTTGTGGAAGATATCCATCGAAATTTTTACTWACCCCAATATTGTTTTGAATTATCTGGAGTTATCTTCCCTTTTTCAAGTAAAACAAATGAAAAAAGCGTTAAAATGTCGACCATGGAGAACTGCGTGGAAGGGTTTTTCGAGAAAAAACTAGCGCTGTGGGGTGGCTCCTGTACTGCGCGTTACAAAATTCTTGAGCGGAAGAGTAGTAAGGTTGAAGTTCGTTCTCGAACGAGTCCTGCGCAAATAAGAACGATGACATAAGATGGCAGAAATGCTTTTTGCAAGCCAAAACAATTTTTGGGCCGAGATTTTGGACATAGAAATCTATCAGGAAGAGCCAAAAGAGTTTATAAAAAAAAAAACGAATCCACCAATCATTTCAATTTTTTAAAATTCTCTTCCCGAATAACTAACATTTTTTAGTATCGGCTCTGCTAAAGATGTAATAATAATATACTTTATTTATTTCTCAAAAYTGCTTCTAGTTCAGCACAAGCTAGTACTTTACTWATCGGGGAGACCTAAAACTACGCAGATGTGATCGAAGTCCTTGGTTGGTTAGGATCTCATATTCAGGGACGTACCTAWATCTCTATCCTCCAAAACTTAGATGAGCCACTTTAAAAAAAATGGAACCATTTCTTCGGGAGAACATAACCCTATATTTAGACTAGCTCAAGCAAGTTCAGGACCTACAAATTCATATATTGAAACAAGTACATTAGACAACTCCTTCAGGGATCAGAACTTCTTTGTAAGTTTCTCTTGTTTATTTCAACAGTTCAGGACCTACAAATTCATATATTGAAACAAGTACATTAGACAACTCCTTCAGGGATCAGAACATATATATACACAAGTAGTTTTACCATATTTTTCTCCGGTTGCCTCGTTTGTTTATTTTTTCGTTCATTTGTTTTTCGAGTTTGTTTTCCCCTCCTTGATCTAAATAAATTTTTCGCTGTGTTAGTCTCATTACGATGACCCTTTTCTACARCAAAGTACCTTTTTGACCAAAACCTTAAATCTTGAACTTTGAAAGCTGAATAGATACGGGTCCAGAGCAGCGTTAAAAGACGCAACCAATGTTGTTGCAATTTCAAAGGCTTCGATACGCGTGTTCGATATGATATAGGAAGCGGTTGCTGGAATCCAGCAGACGACAAACGTGACGACCACAGCAAGAACACACAATGTTACTTTCTTTTTCTTCTTTCTCTCGAAGATTTCTCGTTCTCCTGTAGGTTCGACTGTCTGCTTGCACCAGAGGGACACGTATATTTTCACAGGGAAGAATATCATCAGAGCCAAGGAACAGGTTATTTCAAACCACAAAAACATTGAATAAAGAGCTGTAATGTCGAAAAGACAGAAAAGATATTCTCTGGAGCTCAGTTTGGTATAAACAAATAAGGGYGATGCGATAAGCAAAGCATATATCCAGGACACCACAACAAGTACTTTGACAATCTTGGGCGAGAAACGCTGACGGAAGGTATGAGGACGACAAACAGCAAAGTATCGTTCAACTGTTAAACAAATCATGGTGAAAGTAGAAGCTCTGCATGCCAACCAAGCGATGTTACTTGCTAACAGTAGTTTGCGCAGCCACTCGCCAAGAACTCCATCTGGCAAGAAATGACGAAAGAAAGGCAGCAATATATAGTCAGGAGCAAGAAAAACACCAAATAAAAGATCTGCTACAGCCAAGTTTAACAGCAGATAGTTCGTGGGTGTTTTCATTCCTGGTTCATTCCTGATGATGTAAATGACGAGGGAATTTCCTGCTATGTTGAAGACGAGAACAGCAGAGAACAGCACGGCAAATATAGCTTCTTGGGTACTTGGCATCATGGCTTTACGGTCGAGCACTGAACTGCGATGAAATCAACCTGTAACTTTAGATAATAAATTGGACTTTTTGTAGGGTTACAAAGAATAAGGCTGTCATTCATGATATTGGCTTTCCTTTTATAAAAACAGAGCATTGTCCAATTTTCCACAGCGGCAGGGAGTGATTGCTCATTTTCTTGATCAATCAAAAGAGTCTTCTCCTAATCAGAATAGAAATTTGATTTTCATTGAGGCAGGAAACCCGGAGGATCGGGAAAACCACATTCAAAATTTTAAAATACGTTAAAAAATAAGGAAAGAAAGAAAGAATGAAAGAAAGAAAACAAATACCTTATTTGGAAGCAGCCATAACTAAATCAAAGGGGAAAATTACAACAACTTGAACGTAGAGAAAACGTTTGACTTCCTTGTAATCTGAATAATGACTGATTGATTTTTCCTTCATATACCACTCTACTATAGAGTTATTGATTCTATAATGAACGGTGTATTAATCAAACACTGTATGGATCGTATATGACGTTTACATAGCTTATTGCGATTCCAAGTAACACGCGACCGAATTGACCATCAACACAAATGAAAAATTGAGTTTTGGTGGACGTCAATCAAAATGTCTATGGTTTCCGACTTCAAATTGCAATTTTCAATTGCAGCGGCGGCTGCAGGATGAAAAAGCAGGCGCTCTTTGGAGTACAGGCCTGTAGCAAGGCTTAGAAATGTAGAGGGACAACTTTTTTCCAGAAGACCGCCAAAATAAACCCGTTCGAATTATACTCAAGCCAAGTCAACACCAATAATTYACGAAAGTTGATCATTGATTTCTGTACATTCGGTACACTATACTGTACGATCAGTTCAACTTAACGTACCTCAACCTYATAAATATTAACTTGGCCTCGTATGTTTTCTTTTAAAAAAAWAAAAAAAAAAAAGAAAAAAGAGCTAAAAAACAGTGGGGGGTGGTGACTCGGCCGCCAAAATTCACAATAACCCTCAATAGGAGCTGAGAGCCGAAAGATTTTCAAACAGCACAAAACCCAATATATGGTGAAGTRAACAATCACCTATGTTATTCAATGTCAAGGTTTCAAGGTTTTTTTATTTCCCAGAATGAGAATTTTATACTTTACATCACTATTTTTAAAAAATTAACTGGGAGGAGCAGAAGAAAACAAGCCAAAAGGGTTAAGAGAATATTTCTGCACCTTGAAACTATATAATACTTTCAAAGCTTCAAACACTGTGTTTCATCTCAGCTGAAAGAATGAAATCATAATATTTACAAGAATGAATAAGTTTATATTTAATTAAAGTAGTAGATGGAATCTAACACTTGCTTTATTATGCCAGATGTTACTGAACAGGTGAAACAAAGCTGTAGCATCGACTAATGCTTGGTCACTGCTCAGTGTAAAGATGTCAGCAATAACAGTCCAAGAAATCGTTTTTGCTGTCCTGTTTTCTGTTGTTATTGTCTTGAATATAGCAGGAAACTCCCTCGTTATTTACATCATCACCAACGAACGAGGAATGAAAACCTCCACAAACTATCTGCTGTTAAACTTAGCTGTAGCAGACSTCATATTTGGGTTGTTTCTTGTTCCTGAGTTTGTTTCAATGCCATTTTTTGAACATCCTAGTGGAATTCTTGGAGACTGGTTGTGCAAATCGTTGACCAACTCTAACATCGGGTCAGTGATAACTACTGCTTCTCTATTCACGTCGCTGACTTTATGCTTCGAACGGTACTTCGCTGTCTGTCACCCTCACACTTTTCGCCAAAGATTTTCTCTAAGAAAAATTAAAATCTTAATTGTTGTATCTTGGGTTCAAGGCGTTATTGGATTTCCTTTCTTGGTTGCTTATACTTATTTCGACMAAAATATTTCAAGATGCAGATACGATCCATCTTTTTCAAAAGGAGCGGCAATTTTTGCTTCCCTAGAAGTTTTATTTGGGTCGTGTCTAATGACATATCTCTTTATTAAAAC